TAAATAGTTTTGATACTTAATGCAATGTTCATAATAATGATTCTCTTTTTTTAAATAGTAATCAATATGATTCTCACATATTCTTTGAACAACCTTATCAAGACCAATATCTGGAATTAGAGACAAAATTTCTGAAACCAATTCTAAAGTAAACCCAGATTTTGATAACATATAAAAAAAGGAAATGCTAATTATGAAATTGATATATAAATTAATAATATATATATATGTATATATAAATTAATAATATATAAACATACCATGTTACTGACACAATTAGAATTTTTTAAATTTATGATTCAAATCATAAATTTATTTTGATTGGCTTAAAAATCCTGGCACTCAATAATGAGCCTATTTGTATTATAAATATGATTATTTTAAAAGAATAAAGAATAACATATTTTTACCACAATTAAATAAAGTATTTGTTTGTTTAATTCATTTTTGAATTCTTCACAATTTTTTACAATGGTGAATTAATTTTTTTTTAAAAAATAATTGTTTGTTTTTATAGAAAATTTATTACTAAATCATGTTTGATAAATAGGCTGATGAAACAAACAATTTATCAATTTATGAAATTAATACAAGTACTGGAAATTCCAGACAAGGAGGTAAAGCTAGAGATCCAGTATGGAATTATTTTAATGCAATAGAAATTCCACATGACTCACCTGTCAGCACAATGTAAATTTTGCTTTAAGTCATGGAAATGTGGTAAACCTTCTGAATTGAAAGGGCATTTGGCTCTGAAATGCCCATTAGTTAGTAAAGAAGTAAAATTAAAATATTTAAGATCAATTAAATCAGATGATAATACAGATTCTGCAAATAAAAGGCAAAGTGGAAATATTGGATCTTCATTCTTATTTTGACAGTGATAGAATAGATGCACCAAAAATTTCAAGAGCAAATCAAGCAATGGTTCATTTTTTTGTGTGTTGTGGGATCCCCTTTAGTGTTGCAGATTCACCTTTCTTCTGTGATTTTACAAAAACTTTATGCAGTGGTTATGAACCTCCAAAACGTACCACATTGTCTAATCATCTGTTAGATTCAACATAACCTTAAAGATAGAAAAAGAGGTGCGGGATTCCAAAAATTTGACTTTAGGTAATTAATGTAATTATTTTAAGTAAAATTCATTAATGTAAATTTAAATTTTAATTATTAATTATTTATGTAATAATAAAAATTATTATATGTTTTTGTAATTATTACTCCAGCTCATCACCAATTTATATACTCAATTAATGATTTTTCAAGTGACAGACATACATACAGCTCAATTCAATGAACAATTGTTAAGAATGATTGACAATATTGGAAAAGAAAAAATCACTGCAATTGTTTCTGATGCTGAATCAGCAATGATGGCAGCAAAAAGAAGGATTGTATCTGATTATAAACATATTTTGCCAGTAAGATGTATTGCTCATCATATAAATCTTGTTACAAAAGATTTAAAATCATCAGTAAAGACTCATTAGAGCACATCTTGGGATGTTTGTGAATCAATTTTACACCTTGAAACAAATATTAAATTTGCAAGTATTTTAAATTTATCTTTTATTTTTTTTTATAAACTAGAGTAGTGAGTAACAGATCAATAATCACCACCGCAATTGTATGAAATATTTATTAGGATTTTTTATTATTAAAAATAGAAAATGGTTAACGTTATTATTATATAATATATATATAAGTTAAAAGAAAAAAAATTTGCTTTTTAGAAAATGATTTTTATTAAAATCTC